TCCCCTGGGTCCCCCGCCGTCCGAAGGCCCCATCCCCATCCTCTCCCCTCCCTGGGTCCCCCGCCGTCCGAAGGCCCCATCCCCATCCTCTCCCCTCCCCTGGATCCCCCGCCGTCCGAAGGCCCCATCCGCATCCTCTCCCCTCCCCTCGGCCCCCCGCCGTCCGAAGGCCCCCATCCCCATCCTCTCCCCTCCCCTGGGTCCCCCGCCGTCCTAAGGCCCCCATCCTCTCCCCTCCCCTGGGTCCCCCGCCGTCCGAAGGCCCCCATCCTCTCCCCTCCCCTGGGTCCCCCGCCGTCCGAAGGCCCCATCCCCATCCTCTCCCCTCCCCTGGGTCCCCCGCCGTCCGAAGGCCCCAGCAGCAACAGCTCCTTGACAGCCAATACGGCCACACCAGCTCCCGCTTAAAGGAAGTGGACGGAGAAAGATGGTAGTGATTAACATCCACCGTACGGAAAGTTCCTCTCCAGCGGAGTCGGTGGCAGGCACCCTATGAGAGGAGGGCGTAGGTGGCCCGCCGAGGCAATACGACAGCGCGGCGCCCACTCCGAACCTCACGTCATCGAAGGCTCCCCCCTCCCACCGTCAAGAACCCCATCCCCCTCCATCCCCCTCCCATCCCTCGCGTCCCCCATCCGCTCCCTCCCAAAGACGTGAGGTCCCCTACCCTGGGTCCCCGCCGTCGACAGGCCCCATCCCCATCCTCTCCCCCTCCCCATGGGTCCCCGGTCCGAAAGGCCCATTCCCCATCCTCTCCCCATGCCCCTGGGTCCCCGCGTCCGAAGGCCCCATTCCCCATCCTCTACTCCCTGGGTCGCCGTCCGAAGCCATCGCCATCCCTCCCCTCCCGCTGGTTCGCCGCCGTCCGAGAGGCACCCATCCCCAATCCTCCTCCCTCCCCTGGGTCCCCGCCGACTCGCGAAAGGCCCCATCCCCATCCTCCCCTCCCCTCGGCCCCCGACCGTCGAAGGCCGCCATGCCCATCCTCCCTCCCTGGTCCGTCCCCGTCCGAGCAGGCCCCCCATCCCTCCCCTTCCACCTGGGCCCGACGTCCGACGGCCCCACTCGCCATTCTCCCTCCTCGCTCCCCGCTCCGATAGGCCCGCTATGCCATCCTACCCGTCTCCCTGGGCCCCCGCCGTCCGCAAAGGCCCTCTCCTTCCCGCTCCGAGGTCCCTCTCTCCTCCTCCGCAGCCCGAAACGCCTCCTTCCCACCCCGCTCCCGCCAACACAAGAAGCAGCACTACATTCAATGTTATTTTACTTGGTTCGGAAGCGCTCCGCCCATGGGACAATATCCTGTCCAGGGGCTTTCAGCCGGCCGTACGTGGGGCGAATTGCGGAGGCCCCGGAGGCGGGGGCGTGCGGGGCAGACACCGGAGGTGCCGCGTAGGCGGGTGGGACAAGCGGGACGCGTGGCGGGTGGCGGACGCACGGCCCTGGAAGGTCCAGGCGCTGTCGGTGGGGAGAGGCAGGGGCGGAGGAGGGGTCACAATTATCTCCTGACGGAGCGCCCCGTCTCGGCTCTGAGAGGGGGGACCGGGGCCTTTCGCAGCGCCTGGCTCCCAGTCACTCGCTCCCTCCAGGGAGCCCGAGCCCGGACCAGGGCGCACCTCCAGGGCCAGGGCTCGCAGCAGAGGGGCGGCGCGGGAAGTTGGTGGCAAAGATCTGAATTTCGTGACCAGATCCCGACCCTCTCGGGTGGGCTTTGCGGCGCTGACCCCACTAGCTCGCCCGCACACTGCTGCCAGCACGCTTTCCCCGCGGGTCCCCAGCCGGGGCTGTTCCTTGGCCCTTCCTACTCCCAGCGGGTAAGGAGCCGCTCCGCTAAGGTCTCACACCGTCCCCTCCTGCCCAGCTGGCCCGCCTTCCGCACGGGTTTCACGGCCTCCCTGTTACGTTAGGGGCCCTGCGGGGCCCTGTTCGCTCCCTCCTCTGCCCCGGCCAGCCGCGTGGGGCCGCCATGTGGACGCGTGGCGGGCCCCAGTTGTCGCGCGCCAGGCCCTACCAGCACCGCTCACTCATAGGTCTGCTTCCCTCTGCCCCAGGTCTCCCCCAACCTCTGCATGGGTGGCTGGCGCCTTGGCCGAAACGCTCTAAGTTTCCTCCAGCTGCTTTCTCCAGCGCCCTGCAGGGCCCGAACCAGGGGCCGGCCAGAGGAGGGGACGGCAGGTGTGGCAGTCACTGCAGTGTGCGGTATTGGACCCGCACACCCTGGCCCACCGCCTCCTCTGAGTGCGCACGCGGCTTTCTCGCTCTCGGAACATGACCAGTCACACGGAGGACTGACCACGGGTGCCCCCCAGAGTGGGAGAGGTCTCTGAGCGGTGGCGACCGCCAGACCAACAGAGGGGCGCCGGGCCGCGTTAAAGTGTAGAGCGAGCTCGTGTTAACTCCGCTCCCTGGATACGCACCGGTAGCTGGGGTGATGTGGAGGCTCCAGCGAGAGCTTCCGCGTAGCCGATCTGTGCAGGTTGGTGTCTGTGCAGTAAGCGACTCCGCCGCCAGGCATACCGTGGCGCTCTCCCAGTGCACGTCTGCCGCCGCCGCGACAGCGGGAGCAGGCGGCTAAGCCGGGCGCGGCGGGTTTGACTGCAATGGGGGAACTGGAGGTAGTGGAGGGGTCCGGGGCAGAGGGGCTGTTCGGGCTGGGAAGGACGAGGACGGGCTGCTAGCGGAACGACCCTGGGTCGGGAGAGGGACGAGTGCGCTGGAGGGGACCTGGACCGGAGCTAGAGTTGGGGACCGGGCTGGGTTGGTGAGGTGACGGCTGGAGCAATTTTGAGGCGGGGGCTTAGGAGGGACCGGGGGCGGGGCCCTGCAGCGGGCAAGGCAGGCGGGCGACGCTGCTGGTCGGACCCGTGGCTCACGATGATGCGTCCGCAGTTGGCGCTGCCACCTAGTCCGAGCGCTGCGCGGCTCGGCAGCAGCCATGATCTGTGCACATGACGCGGGCGTGCCGGTGCGCCGGTCAGTTGGGGTACGACTGTGGTGGCGGCGTGGGAAGCGCCGGCGTTGCCTCGACGAACTCCGCAGAGCTGCTCGTAACGCGCGAACTCGTGGCGCAGGATAGACGCCGCGCAGCGCAGCTCGGCGGATGTGGAATGAAAGCCACCTCTCGGAGCGCGCCGGCCCGCCCGCCTCTGGTCCAGGCCGGCCGTGCCGGCGGCGGAGTCAGGATCAGCGTCTCCATGTCCGGGCTCTCGCGGCCGCTGCGCCGGGGGCGGACGCGCCGGGCTGGCCGGCCGCCAGTGCCACCTTGGCGAACTTGCGCACGTGGGCCCGGAGCTGCGTGGCGGGCGAGCCGCGCGGGGGTCCCTGGGGGCGCCGGCGCCGGACCCACGGCCACCGACAACTCGAGCAGGAAGCCATTCGGCCGGCTCATAGAGGCGCCCAGCGGCCGCCAGCTCGCGCGCGTAGCTGCCCAGGGGCGCCGCGTGTGCCAGCTCCCGCAGTGACAGGTAGGTGGCCACAGCAGCAGCCCCTCGAGGCCAGAAGCGCAGGAAGTTGTCCGGCGGAGCCCGGGCTCGGAAGCCCAGGAAGAGCACCGCGGCCGCGACAAGAAGCCGACGCGCGCTATGCGCGAGAAGGCGCGGTGCATCGGGCCGCTGTCGCGGCAGAACGCAGCACGTGGCCGGCACACGCTACCCACCGGCCGTACACGCAGCGCGCCTTGTGCGCGTCCCAGTCCATCCTCGCGGCGGCACAGGCGGAGAGCAGTAGTAGGTGTAAGCAGCTGTGGCACGACTTGAAGTAGAGGCAGGCGTTGAACATGGTCTCGGTGCGCCGGCAGCGCGCGTTGGAAGCACGTCATCAGGTCGTCCTCGTTCTGCGCTGAGCTCGGAGACGACCTCGGCCAGTCTCCCCGCGCCCGCAGGCCCTCAGCGCTGCCGGCTGAGGCTGGGGGCGAGCGTGCGGCGCCAGCGAGGGAGCCTGGGCCCCGCGGGCCGCGAGTCCAGCAGGCGCGAAGCTGGGGGCCCAGGCCGTCGGTCACGGGGCTCCGGGCCTGGCCGGCCGCGGGCCGAGATTCGATGACCAGGTCGTGTGATGAGTTCGTCCAGCTGCTCCAGGCTGCGCTGGCGGGCCAGAGGTGGGCCGGCGGGGGCGGCGGGCGGATGCGGCCGCGGGCGCCTCCGGGCAGCTCCCAGCCCCTGGCGGTGGGGCGCTCAGCGGGCGCGCAGTCTTGTCGTGGATGGTGATTTCGGGCGTGACGTACAGTTGCGGCTCAGGCCTCGCCCCCGCGGCCTTTTTCTGACAGCGACGTCTCGGACAGGGACAGAGCGGCGTAGCGCCTGGGCGAGGTGGACAGGTTCACGACGATGGGGCGGGCGCGGCCTTCGGGGGACGCGCCCCTGGGCTCCCGCACCTCGCGCCCCAGCAGGTTCTCATAGCTGCGGCCCAGCCCCAGGGGGTCTTCCGGCGCGGCCCGGGGGCCAGAATGTTGTCCCAAGAACGCGAGTAGTGGCGGCTGTCGCTGGCCAGTCGGGGAGGGCTGGTACCGGTGCCGCCGTGCCATGAGGCGAGCAATGGCCGGGGTCGTGGGGAGGCGCCACTTGCAGGGTGCGGTAAGGCCGCGGGCCCCAGTCAGCCCAGGACTGGCTGCTCGCGTGGTACGGGTAAGTCCGAGCCACAGGGCGTCGCGCTCGCGGTACCGCCCAAAGTCCTCTGTATAAAGGGCGGGTGGCAGGGGTGGGCCGGGGGCTCCTGGGGGCCAATGTGGGCAAAGTGGGGCCGAAAGGCAGGCCATAGGCTCGGGTGCCTCCCCGTAGTAGGAGCGGGAGGGCGGTTCCTGGATCGGAAAGGTGCGAACTTCTTCTGCAATAATAGCCGCCCCCACGTCTTGGGCTGGGTCCCAGGGGCTCCTCGGACGGTAGGTGGGGACAGTAGCCGTCGGGGGGGCCCGGGCTGGCTGTAAAGCCGCCCTGAGTAGCCCTCGCATCCTCGGTGTAGAAGAATTGGGTGGGCCCGGCGGGGCGCTGAAGTGCAGAGTGCGGCCGCTCCGCATAGTCCCGCGGCCCGGGCAGAGGCCCGTCGCAGTACAGCGCTCGGGGGTCCGCACAGTGAATCGCTCGGGTGTGGGGTGCGGGACAGCGCCACGTGGCCGCGGCCGGGCACCGTGAGGCCGTGGAGCTGTGGGACAGTCGGGGCCCAGGGCGCCGCCTCGGTGGGCGCAGGGCCGCGAGCCCCGGCGGCGTGCTGCAGCACCGCGTCGTTCCGCGCTGATATGTCCAGGCGGCAGCGGACGTGGGGGCGGGCCCCGGGGGTGTTCAGGCGGCGCACAGCGGCCGGTGGCGGCGCACAGGGGCGCGATGCGGCCGGTGCCGCCCGCCTGCGGCTGCAGCTTGATGGGGTGCAGCTCGTTGGCGAGCGCGCGCAGCGCGGGTACGCGCTCGGCGTGGCGATCCTCGGCCCGCTTCTCGCGCTGGGCCTCTCGGCCTCGCGCGGCAGCACCGGCGGCGAGGCGGCGCGGGCGCCAGGCTCGGGCCCCGCGGGGCGCGCTCTTGGAGCGGGCGCGGCGGGGTCGCCGTCGCGGGCGGGCACGCGGCGCGGCGGGCTCCGCGGCGGTGGCTCCGAGCGCGCTCCATGATGGCCTCGGACGCGGGGACCCAGAGGAGAGGATGGATGGCCTTCGGACGCGGGACCCCGGAGGAGAGGATGGGATGCCTTCGGAACGGCGGGACCAGTGAGGGAGAGATGGGCATGGCCTTGACGGGCTGGGACCCAGGGAGGGTGACCTTCGAACGTCTTGGAGTTGAGAGGACCGCGAAGGATGGAGGAGGAGGAGGAGGCCTCTGACGTGGGGGGGAGGGGCCTTCACTGAGCCGTGAGTGGATCGGCGGCCCGCGTCGATGGGCCTCGCTGCCACCTAACTGCCCGTGCTCCCAAGGTGCCTGCCACCCGACTTCCGCTGGAAGGAACTTTCCGTCGGCTGGATTTAATCACCACCCATTCCCGGGTCCACCTTCCTAAGCGAGCGGGTGTGGCCAGGCTGCAAGGAGCCGGGCTTGCGATTGCCAGTCCGTGCCTCGGGCCGCGGCACGATTGGCTTGGAGCATTTTTT